TCAATAGTAAATCAGTGGTAAAATATTGGTGTTGATATTAAAATAGTATCAGTGCAAGCCACCAAACTTATGGATTTGATGGTGACGCTCCATTATTGTTTTCTCTGTTTATTTTTGTACCTCCTTGTGACACTTCAGAGGCTTGCAATCGAACTGTCCCGGACCCAGAAGTCACGAGGGGTTTCACCTCCAGACACTCATCTGAGTCCCCAGAACGATGATGGGTCAGAAACAAGGTCAAAGAAACCCGGCCAAAGCATTGAAGCTCTGCTGGAGAACTTCTCTGCTCCGGGATTAGCACGGGAGAGCAAGGAAGAGGAGGAAGAGAAGACCCAGCAGGAAGACTTGAATGTAGGAATTTTCTGTTTCCTGCCTTACTGTTTGTAGCTTTCTGTTTTAGGACAGCAATAGAAACACAGGGGAACTCCTGAATTGTAAATTAGATTTATTATCCTTGGTGTGGAAATAGGAGATGACACACTCGAGAGCTGTCAGTGAGAGTTGTTTCAGAACAGAGCTAATGGGTCCCTCTAAAAAAAAATTTCCAAGTTCCAGCTGAAAAATCCAGCTTTTCTGTTACAGCCTTTACTGTGCTTTGAGACCCTTCTGTGTGACAGGATGACCCTGGGGAGAGAGAGTTTCTGTTCACAGCTTTTGGGGGATGCATCAAGGTGCAACCACCATGTTCCTTTATCCAAAACCTTGCTGTTTTCCCTGCAGCACGAGCTCTCAGATGGTGACCTGGATATAGACCTTGCTGGGGAAGATGAGGTGAACCACCTGGATGGCAGCAGCTCTTCAGCAAGTTCAACAGCAACCAGTAACACTGAAGAAAATGATATAGATGAAGAAACTATGTAAGTCACTTCAAATGCCTTTCAGGTCATCACCTTGTGTCCCAGGGCAATCATCCTAATTCCAGTGGAAATGGATTCATTGGTGTATCACAGCTGTGGGGTGTGTGGGATTCCAGTGCAAGGTGAGGGGTGCTTCCTACACTGGAAACAGCTCAGAGTTAACACTAAACATTGAATTTTTGGTCAACTAGTTACTGTCTTCCTGATCTCTTTATTTATTTTAGTGTTGCATTTGTCTTTGACAAGTGATGATCTGTGAAGGTTCTTTTTCAAAACACTCCTGAGAAATGTTTCAGCACTGTAATAAAGGAGAGTTTTGGTGTTAGGAAGTGTTGTAGCAGTAGGAGAGTGATAATAAGGACAGGTGCTTAAAGTAGGGAATTCAAAACCCTTGGCTGAGCCAATGTCAAATCCTGGAATCTTCATTAAAGCGTGAGAATGTGTTACAACATGTGCAAATATAGAAGTTTGCAGGACAGGTTTTGCAGTCTGGGTACATGTGGCACTCTTGGTCTCTTGGTTGAGTCAGTCATTTAATTTCCACACTGTCATTGTTCAGCTTGTGTAGCTTGGAATGCAGAAAATACTATTTACAGCACTTTGGGTTGGTTTTGAGGTTTGTGCCACAACGTTTAGCAAGAGCTGAGAAAAGCTAATAGTTGTATTTTCCTTTTTCCTGCCTGATCATCCTCCAAGGTCTGGAGAAAATGATGTGGAATACACCAGTACCATGGAGCTGGAAGAGGGAGATCTCGGGGAGGATGCAGCAGCTGCTGCTACTCCTGGAGCATCAGGTATGAAAAAAAAGACTTCAGAATTCCCACCTCTGCAAAAAACTGCTGGATTCCTTCCCCTCTTCCTCTTGGAAGCAAAGCCAAGCTGTGTGTTCTGCAGGCATTTCTATTTTTGGAAATGCTGCATCATGTGGTTCGTGCTGATTATTGCAGTGTAGCAGAAACACTTCGTCAGTTCAATAAAAAATAGGTGGGGAAAAGTCTTCTGAATGTGCTGGTTTAAAAATGATGTATAAGTTTGGAGGGCAGCTCTGTGCCTCTCTGAAATTCCTTGTGTTCCCATCAAAAGTAAACTGAGAAGCAATTTTTACTGGTGTCTCTGTGACCTCTGAGGGTGTGACACGTTCACTTGGGTTTTAGTGCCCTGCAAAACCTGAAGAGTGTGGAAGGAATGAAGTAAAGAATCCTCACAAGTGAAGCAGAATTGCAATTTAAATGCAATATGAAAGTATTCCAGGATTTCTTGCAGCCTAGGGATGATGACAGTCATAGGTTAATAAGATTCTGAGGGAAATATATCTATATGGAAGGATAGTATATTTATTTATGGCAAAGCTACCAAAAGTGCCATTTTCTGGAAGTGCTGCTTGTGCTGCTGCTGCAAATCTGCCAGGGCTTGAAAGACAGAATTCCTTAACTGTTTCATAACTCCTTGAAAATTTCTTGTGAGCTTGGAAGTTGAAGGACCCGTGTGTCTCCTGCAGGGAGAGCCTTTAGAGTAGGAGCACAGTGGCTGCAGGAACTGTAGAAATCTAGGAGGTTTTAGAACATAATTTTTAACAGCATTTGTAAAAGCTGACATGATCTCTTCACCTGAGCTTCTTGCATTTACCTGTTTTCCAGTCTGAATGTTAGTTCCAGCCTGGCTGTGTTGGAAGGGAGTTGTTCTAAGCTGTACAAATTTAGTCTCAGATCAAACTACTTTCTCTGAAGACTTTGCATCCTTTGAGAGCCTTGGCCACTGTGTAGGGGGAGTGTCCCTCCTTGGTTTAACTGGGGACACCCACACCACACCTAGAAAGTTTGTGCATGTCTTCAAAATAAATGCTCTTTGTATTGATGAGTTAACAAATCTATTTATTAAGAGACTTACATAAAAGGTAGGAAGTGAAGCACTTCCCCCTTCCCTGTGCTTTTTATCTTAAACTTTAATTAGAAGCATATCTGATTGCTTTCAGAACCCATAAATCCATGAAACACCGATGTCTTGTTAAGTTTCATGGAATGTTTTCATTCTTAATCTGCTTGGATAACTCTGTCTCTTTATTTGGCCCGGGGAATAATGCATCCCTGTGTCCCACACATTCCCATTCCTTCTGTTTCTTTTCTTTAGGTACAAGCCACAGCTACACCAGTGCCAGTGGGAGACCTTCCCGACGGGGAGCCAGTGCCCTGGGCTCCACAGCCAGCAGCAGTTTGCTGGATATAGATCCCTTAATTTTAATCCACTTGCTGGATCTGAAAGACAGGAATGGTATGGAAAACCTCTGGGGCCTTCAGCCACGTCCTCCTGCCTCTCTTCTGCAGAACAGAGGTAACTACATCATGCATGAGATGATTTAATTCCAGCCTGGAAATGTCTCAGAGTGCAGTGGGAGGTGACTGGAAGGGCCTTTTCTGGAAAAGGGGTTGGCTCTGAAAGCCAACACAACACACAGCAGCTCTCTGCTGAGGCAGCAGGTCCACCTCTCCCTGCACACATTTGGTACCCAAGAGTGGCTGGGAATACTTGGAGAACAGAGTAAACTAACAAAATAAATCCTGGGATTTACTTCAGCATGAGAAAGGCAATTAGAACCAGAAAAATGTGTGCAGTTGTAAGGCTGGAAGAGCACGTGAGGGTGCTTGTGGAAGAGGAATGGATCAAAATGTCAGGAGCCAAAAATAGTGATGGCATTTGAATAATTGAAGACATTGAAGGGTATTTGTGGTTCATTTAGGGCCCTTCAACCGAAAACAGCAATGAACTCCCCGTGCAGCAGAGGCAGGGAGCTGAGAATCTGTACCCAGGGCTGGTCCTGGAGGCTGCTCATTCCCCTGGTTTTGATAGTGAAGAATTAAAACTAAATCAAACCTCAGTAATGCATTTATCATGTTTAACACTCGGAGCTGCTGCCCCACCACCACAGCACCTCATCTCAGGTCGTTCTGAAACAACCTTTGGTGACTCCCCAGAACAGCAGAGAAATAATGGTCCCTTTGCTACAAATAATGCTTGGGTTTGCTGCCACAGTACCACTGTGTCACTCAGTGTAAAAGCTGACTCAAACTCTTTGTTCCCTTGTTTTGTTCCTTTGTCATTAGCTTTTTAAATGTAGTTGCATAAACAGTCATGAATTTTCAGTGGCTGTAACCCGTATTTCCAAAAATGGAAGTCACTTCAACAAAGATGAAAAGAGGGGAGCAGCACATGAACTGTGAGTCTCAGCTCTGGTTTGCCTGGAAAAAGCCCTGGACAAAAGGAGTTCAGGGGAGGGCTTTGCACTTTGTGCTGTGCCACTGGAGCAGGGTGAAGCTCTCCTGTTGTGCTGAGTGGCCTCCTGGTCGTCTTTAGCTACTGGTTACACAGCCAAAATCACCCGTTGTGTGGAGGTTCCCCTGAGGTTTGAGTGTGCCCAGAGCTTATTCAGGCTGGTCAGCGAAGAGAAAGCTGCTGTTGCATTTGGAGTTTGCCAGACTTCACCTCCTGGAGTGAAGGTTTCTAAGAACCACTTGACTTCAGGGTTTGGAACAGCTGAATTTGCAGTGAAACACTCACAGAATTTACAACACTTCACACAAACATCCAGGTTGATCTAATTCCAGCTGAGCAGCACAGAGACTTACTCAGGTATTAGCTGCTTGACCTGATCTTCTGCTGGGAGGTACTTAAGGGAATTCCTTCCCTAGTTTCTGATTTCTTTGAGTTCTCTGTGTTCACATATGTTGGTGGTACAAGAATTTTATACAGACAGTCAACAGTTTTTCTAAAAACATGTAACAAAGTTGGCATGAACTGGCAGCCTGGTTGGTGAACTCAGGCAACATAGATTAGTAGCTGAGGTGTCACCAGAATTCCTGCAGCAGTACTGGGAGCCTGATTCCTTCCAAAGAGAAGGTTCTGGGTTCTTCTTCCATCCCAGGGAACAAACCCTTGCTGTCCCAGTAGCTGTGCGGCGCTCGCAGCCTCAGAACGGTGCCACACCGGGACAGAAGGGTACCTGTGCCCCTCATTTTTACAGCAGGGCAAAAGAGCTGTTAAAAATTGATGTCTGTGTTTACTGGAGAATGGTTTTACTCACCTGCTGTGGTCTCTGACTTTTCCCTTGGTGAAGCCTCATCCTATTCCCTGAAGGACCGGGACCAGCGGCGGCACCAGGCCATGTGGCGAGTGCCTCCCGACCTGAAGATGCTGAAGAGGCTGAAAACCCAGATGGCTGAAGTCAGAAGCAAAATGTCAGATGTGAAGAACCAGCTGTCTGAAGTGAGGAGCAGCAATGCTGGCTCTGGTGAGGGACAGCCCAGCTTCTTCTCCATCGAGCAGGGGGCTCTGGCTGCCTGTGGGACCGACAGCTGCAGCAAACTGCAGGAAATAGGGATGGAACTGCTGACAAAGTCTTCAGTCACCAGTTGTTACATAAGGAATTGTAAGTGCGTGGAAAAGGGGGGATTTAAATGTCACCCTTGCAGGTGGTTTGTCCATCCCAGCATCTGGAAATAGGCCTTGTGTAGTTCCTCATTCTCAGGTTCAGCTGTAAGTGCCAGAAATGTAACCCTGCCCTGCCTTTGAGGAAGTAAATGTCACTGAAACTGAGTTCAGCCCTTCTCTATAAAAGCACCCAAACTTTACTCCACAGCCAGTGACACACCTGATGCAGTGAGAATGTTCTGAGGCTTAACCCAGGGTCAGACTGATCCAGGCTGAGGGTCACTCCCTGGGGACTGCTCTGTGTCTGGCCCAGCTGTGAAGTTGAGGCTGTTGCATGGTGCTTGCCAGGGCACAAATTAAACAGACTTGCTGTACTTACTAACTTGAAATCTTTCTAAAATCCAAGTAAGCCAGGGTTTGGGTTTGGATCTCTCCATACTCCCGTGCTGACTGAAGGGATGTGGATGGAGCTTTGTGAAGGATGCCTTAGTGTAAAGCCAGTGAGCATGACTTGCATACTCTTGGCCACATCCATAGTTAGCCAAGCTTCCCTCTAGCCCGGGTCTTGGACAGGAAGGGCGTGGAAGGAGTTTTGTGCAGGGTTGGGAGTTAATGAGCAATGAGAATATTATGGAGCTTCACCTAAGCACAAGGACAGGATACTGCAGTGGTTTGACTGAACACTTGTCACATCTTAAAACTATTTCTGCAGCTGCCAGTAAGAAAAGCAGCTCAGCAAAACCCCTTCGCTCTGGAGCAGCGGGAAGTCTGTCCCTGAGGAGAGCCATGGACTGTGGGGATGTGAATCTGCGCGGGAAGGGAGACACTCAGACTCCTGAAGGTAACCCAGGCCATTGGTCCTTGTGTGACAGGGCACAGCTCGGCATCTGTGGTACAAAAGCTTCTCCATAAGTCTTTTATTTGGTATCTGGAGTTTCCCTGAAACTTGACTGGATCCTTTCCCAAATGTAGTGAATATTCCTGCACCTTTTGGGAGCCGATCTGGGAAGCAGGACCTCACAGTGGGCATAAATAGATGTGTTAGGTGTTACTTTTGGTCTCAATGAAGATATTTCAGGGAAAATCCTGGATCAAAAAGTACTGACCCAGGTTTAAATTGTGGTTTGACTTGAAGGGAACTCGAGAAATCCCATGGATCGGGGACTGTAGGAGTTGTACGATGGTGCCGCTCCTGAGTTTGGCGAAGCCAGGGCTTCACTTTGAGTGGAAATGAGGGAACACCTGACAGAGGAACGGATGTTTTGCCCCTCTCAGGTGTTCAGAGAGGGAATGGAGGGTCACAGCTGTGCTCTCTCTGCTCAGGTGGCCTGGGCAGCTCCAAGCTGGGCAGTCGGCACCGGGCCCTGGCCGGCGCGGCAGAGGCGCTGCCGAAGGAGGACAGACCTTGTGAGGGCTCGGATTCCGACGGGGGAGTTTCTGCCCTGACTGGCCTGGCTGCTGTGGAGAAGACCAGAAAAGTTGGTGCTCTGGGGTAAAGGTTTTATTCTTCTTTCCTCCTGTTATCTCCTCCCCCACCTTCCCTTGATCTACAAAAAACTCCACAATCTACTAAAACCAGGTGCTTGTAGCATGAAAGGGAAATTACTTTGAAGTTTACTTGCTTGCTGCTGTTCCCTCTGGACATCAATTTTTGGGTTTATAACTAGGTTACAAGTTGTCTTTTCTTTTTTCCTTTTCTTTTCTTTCTTTTTAATTTTTTTCTTTTATTTTGATCAGCTGTGGCTGGAGCCTGACACTTGGATTTGAAAGGCATCCCAGTCTGTTTTCCCACTGTTCCATGCAAAATATCCTCTGACTGAGATTTAATCACTTTTGATTTCCTTGTTTTAAGATGATGTTTTTCACTGTGACTTTGTTTTTCAGCTATTTCATGATAATTCCCTGTTGGGCAACTAAGCAAAGGGCAATGGAGTGCTCAGGTTATTCCTTTCTAAGTAGCTAAAGTCACTTTTTGTGGAAAAAAAAAACTGGAAAAGTTTGAGGAGTAATTTTTTTCAGATTTTAAATATTTCTAAATCAATCCAAGCTGGGAGTTTAAGTGGGTATGCAGGAGATTTAAGCAATGAGTAAAACTGGATGTGGCACTAAAAGGATTTGTGTCTGTGACTGAATTCAAGCCGAATTTCTAATGCGGGGTTTTGCGTTTCTCCTTAATTCTTCCTCAAGCTCGAACTCCAAGGGCTGTCGGACAGAAGGGGCGCAGGCAGGAGGTCTGGAGAACAACTCTGAGCCTGGGGAGCTGCAGGGAATGGCCTCGGAAGGCACCTCTGCGGGGGCAGAGGAAGGTAACGGGGGTGCCGGGGGGGGCGGGTGCAGCGTGGCAGCACTTGGGACTCTGCTGAGCCGCCTCTGCACTGGGACCTCGAGGGGGAAAGAAAAGGAGGAGAACCCCCCAAAGCCAACAAGCCCCAAAACCTGCTTTCATGGCTGTTGAACTTTGCTGTAACGTTTGGCAGCTGTGGAATAAATGTGAACAAGGAGAGGAGCTGTGTGTCCTTGCTGTGTGTGGAGGAACGGGGATGTCACGGAGCAGCAGATGTGGTGCCACCTCCCTCCCTGGACAACCAGCTGCTTTTTGCACCTCTTCTTTTGTCTCCAGGTCTTTGCTTTGGTGTCCAGTCCAGTGGCCTTGAAAAGGATTTCTTATCTAATTAAAACAGTGGTCAGTGACCTTGGCTTTTAAGTCTCCTGCCTTCAGGGACGAACCCCCCTGGTCACTTCCTCCACGTCCTCACTCCAACCTCTCCAGCACTTCATTCCTGCTGGGTGTTGTGGTACATAAACCAGTTTCCTTAGAGACTTGGAGGAAACTTTTCCCCCTCCCTTCCTGCATCCTTTCCACGCTGGAAAAAAATAATATTGCCTTTTTTTTTTCTTTCTTTTTTGAAAGTCCACGTAGAAGAGTTTTTCTTATCTTGCTAAAACTCTCCTGCCTTCCACCCCTGCACTAATTTGAATTTCAATGACTGGATTGTAGCTCAAAGCCTATATTAAGGTGCCAGCATCCATCTCGAGCTGCAGTTTGTGCGGGATCGTGTGGGAGTTGGCATTTGCAGAAGGTCTCTCAGTGACAAAACTGAATTTCTGCTCTTAGTCACTGCAGCGTGATCGTGATGCAGCTCCGCTCCTGGGGCAGAGCCCAATAGGAAAGCGCTTCAGACCCTCAAATACTTCATTGTGAAAAACCCCAGGAAGCAAATATTACAATTCTGTTCTCCTTCCAGAGGAAAAGCTGCAGCAGAGTTGGCCCCTCACTTGGTTTTTCCTTAGCAATGAGTGTTGGCTCTTAAGAAGTAAAAAGTGTCTCCCCCAGAACTGCCCAGTGCACACCCAAGGTCTGGCACAGCCAAAGCCACCACCTTGATGGCACCAAGAGCTGTGGTTCTGCTTTGAGGGGACGTTTGTTTGTTGTGTGTGACTCAAATGCAGTTGCTCGAGGGCTCTGGCAGGTCCATCTGCCCCACAGGTCCTGTTCCCTCTTGGCTGTCCAAAAAGCAACTTTAATTTTTTGAATTGCAACTGGAGGGGAGGGAGATGTGCACTCCTGGGCTTGGGCTCAGCTGGTGGCACGTGGGAACTGCTCCCCTGGAGTGGAGCTGCCTGGCAAAATCCAGCCGTGGTCCATGCTGGTTCCGCTGCTCTGTCGGATCCCTCCGTGCTCTGGGAAGCACATGGAGCTGCTCTCCATGTCCTCCTGCCAGCCCTGGGGATGTGATACTGGGAGCTCTTCCATGTGAAAAAGTCTGATAACTGAGCTGCATGGATCTCACCATCCTCTTTGCCTGGGGTGTCTCTCTGGTGTCTCTTGCAGCCGGGGTGTGCCAGAAGCACGTCCTGCATCTCCTGCCGGGAATGAGCAGCGACAGTGACATCGAATGTGACACGGAGAACGAGGAGCAGGAGGAGGCTGCCTCACCCCCAGAGGTGTTCAACCAGGCCTTCTCTGTCCAGCCCTCGACCGAAGGTAGGATGGATATTCCAAACCCCCCTTCCCAAACATTCCCACACAGATCCCGGGGGGGGCTGTGGAGGTGTTAAAGCTCAAGCAAGTGCCAGTAAGATTTGGAACTCCTCTCTTGGGATCCCAATTAAACCAGATCAAAACAGGAAAGGGAAACTCTTCCTAGCCTTGAGAAGTCAGTTCAGGTGAGTCTCCCGGGGAAGGGTTGGAAAACCCACAGCGCCAGTTCCGAATTGGAACTCCCTGAGTGCCAGCACTGGCACCGTAAGTAGGCTAATTCCAGGGAGGTAACCACTGCCTTAGACATGGATTTGCATCTTAATTGGCAGGAACGAGCTTGGAGCAGTTCAGTGGAGTTTCAGGAACTCATCTCACTTTTGGTGTAAAAGCTTTAACTTCTGATCAATGGATCAAAGCTGAGAGGCCACAGCTGCCCCGGGGTGAAGTTTGGGCTGAGTCAGGGGAGGGGAGGGAGCACCCACCGGCTGTTGTGGTGCCTCTCTGGTGAGGGTGACTGGGCTCTGTTGGTGTGTCACCCTCAGAACACTCCTCGGTGTTACCGGATGGCGACCAAGTGAGTTCTGATGATCTCGGCTTTGTCCCTGGAGACGACACCACCAGGTAACAGGGATGGTTCTCCTTGGCCAACCCTGGGGCTGCACCTTCCCTGTGCTGCTGCAGGAGCTGCAGCCACAGAGCCAACACTCCTCCTGCTGTGGGTGTTGGTACAGTCTGATCCCTGTGTTTGGCAGCACCAGGGGGAGGCCGTGGCTACCCTGCCCCCTTGAGCTCCACCTGGGAATGAGGAGTCTGGGAATGAGGGAGGGCAGGCTGAGTTCTGAATGCTTCTGTAATCAGCACAAAACTGATTGGGTTGAAGCAGCTGACATGAAGTTTTGACTTCTAAGACTGTGTTTGCTTGAAGCCTTAAAGCTGCCCCAGCAGGAGGGTTTTCAGTGGAATCTCTTTGTCTGGAACAGGTAGAATGTGGGCTTGGGGCCTGAAGACCCACCACTGCATCCCTGGGGAGAGGGGTGTGCATTCCCTGGAGCTGAGCCCGAGGCTGCTGTCGATGGCTGTGTGTGCTCTCCATTCTGTGGTTCTTCTGCCATTGTCTTAAACCTGTCCCTGGGGCACAACGACCTTGGAAGGCCTTGCACTACAGGTTGCATTCCTGCTGGCTCTGCCAGCCTCACGTGCTCTGAGGAACTGTTGGGAAGGTGCTGAGCCCTGTCCTGGGAGGTGTGTCCTGCTGGAATAACCACAACTCTGGGACTGTCCTCATTTTAACCCCCGGGGCCTGGCGATGGCTCCAGAGCTGGGGTGGAACAGACACCACACGAGGTGTTTCCCCGGTCGGTGACGTGGACCAACCGCACCCATTGCCAAATTCTTTGCCACTGTTCGTTACATTTTGAGCTGCTCAACTACTTGTGAAGCCCGTCTGGGAGCTGATCCCTGGTTAGTGACAAAGCATGAGGCCCTGTGAGTACCCGGTGTTGTCCCTGTCCTGCTGCCCGTGCCCTGTGTCCGTGTGAATGTGCCGCCGTGGCCGTGCTGTACAATTTAGTTTGAAACTGTTTGCACTTTGTTAATAAAATTGAATGTTGAAACCTGAGGTGGAGTTCTGGATGTTTGAGTGAGGTGGTGGGGGCTGTCAGGGTCCCAGCACAGGCCTGCACAACCCCTCTGGCTGCTCACAGGAGGAATTCTTTCTGTCCTCCACCCGTCACTTTTTTCTTTAATTATTCAGTGAAAAGCACTTAAACCCCTCTGGGACCAAATGCTTAAATCTCGATTCAAATAGGCAGCGAGGAGGATGCACAGTTTTTACCCAGCTGGGTTTGTGTTTCTCAGCTGCAGAGGGAGCACAGCCTGTTCCAGGGCCAGGCCCCTCTCTGTGGTGGTTGTGGGGGCTCAGGGTGTGCAGGGCTGTGGGTGCATCACTGCCCTCAGCTCAACTGGTGTCCTCACAGAGCTCTGCCTCTCCAGCACTTGCACAGGGTTTGCTCTTGGTGAGAGGCCCAACTGAAGCAATTGAGTGATCAGGCACAGGGGTTGTGTCCTGCCTTTGAGGAGCTGGTGATTTGCTCACCTTATGGAGAACTTACTTTTGGAGTTGGTTTGTAAACAAGAGGTGGGGAAAGGGGCTTGGGAGACTTATTTATCTACTTGGACTGTGCCATCGCAGCCTTTTGGGCTGTGATGGGCCCTGGGCAACCCCATGGAGCCAGAGCTCAACAGAGCCAGCTCCTGTTAGATATCAAAGGAAACCCCCTTTCACCACAGTGAACACAGTGTGGCTGCTGTCTTTGTTAGCTCTTAAATAACCAGACTGCCTGAAGTGTGGTTTAAATTACTGTTTTATTAAGATATTGGTAAAACAGTTTTTCCTGTATAAACAGCTTTCATAAATAAAATATGGATGACTAATACATGGTTATAACTAAACTTGCGGGTGAACTGTAGAACAAGGTTGCAAATGGAAAAGTCCCAACACTGGTACATGATTAGCTTTAATTTATTCACTTCATAAAGAACATGTTTCATGAACAAGGTACTACAGAAAGGTCAACAGGAGCACCCAGGAGCTGACACCACGCCTGGCTGGCCACGAGCAGCAGCACTGGGGGTGAGCTCAGCCACTTCCCCTGTTCTTGTCCAGAGGTGTCTTCTAGAGGGAAGGAGAGGAAAAACCGGACACAAGGCGAGTGCGACGTACGGGAGTTGTAGGAGACCCTGCCCGGGAGTTGTGGGAGGCCCTGACAGGAGGGGTTGTTTCTCTTTAGCTCTAATGCTGGCAGGTGCCGTCGCCGAGTCGCGAGGGCTGGAGGAGGATACGGCCATCGGAGCCAGAGGTCGCCTTAATGCTTCGTTATTTATTGCACATGATACAAGGGTAGAGAGTTTTTGTTCCTGTTGCAGAGAGGGTGTGAATTAAAGAAAGATTGCCCTAAATTACAGCCATGAACGAAGCTGCAGTATCCCCTTGGATGGCTTTGTTTGCGTGACTGGTGGAGTAAACTGTGCTAAAACAGCCCCTAATTTAGACCAATCTTTCTCGTTTTGCTTTCCCGCAGAGCTTTGCCGGGGTCGGGAGGATTCAGGGAGGAGACAGTGGACCTGAACTACAGCAGCCATGTCTATACACAAACTCCTTGTGCCTCATCTGCCCACGGGACAACGGTCTCACCGACACACAGTGTTCCAAAAACAGGCGGAGTTTCTACGATGATGCACCACCATAAACGTGGCATAAGGTAAAGTCTGCTTTGACATTGTCCTTCAGCGTCACGACGCGACCCAACTCAGGTACGGGATGGTTTGAACTCGCAAGGACAATGGATGGCACTTCTAGGTAAAGAAAAGTTATATATACATGTGTTTCCACCCACCTTTAGTGCAAATCGAATGGGTTAACAGCTCCCTGCTCTGGTGCTATTCTGCTCTCTGCACCGCACACATTCCTCAGAGTTGCACATGGAAAAGTACACAGGAAACTACCGGGATCGCGGGAATCCCGCCAGTCCTCACAGTGAAGAGCTTACGAGCGAGGTTGGAGCGGCTTCAGACAGAACCAGCCTGGAGCCCCTTCCTCAAAACCAACACAAACTGAAACACAAAATAAAATAAAGTCATGTTTTCGCTGCTCCCTCCTGGTTCTGCCACCACGGTGACCACGCCAACCGGAACGGATGGGGTTGTGTTAACGCGGGAAAGGGATACTTCAGCTCTTTATTGGAAAGATTCGTTATACAAATTTCACCACCACTAAAGATACACGATAAAAATACAAAACACAGGTCACAGACTGAATCTCAGTATCAACAGTTAATAAATACAATGAGATAACTTCTCTATTAGCCTAAGGTTTTACACTGTCACCAGATAGACAATCAAAGTACGAGATACAGAACACTTAGATACCGTTAGAGAGGGATTATTGCTTACGTCAGCAAGCAGCAAATAAGGGCACAGGAGTTTGAACTGAAGAGAACTACTTCCTATCACCAGTGGCATTAAGAGAAAACACTGCATTTCACAAGCACTGCTTTTTGTCTAGTTGTAGAATCAAGAGCAGCATAATCAGACCAATAACCACTACTTTTAATATTATAGAACTTTAAAGGACTTACCTTACAAATGGTTCCTATCTACTCTATAAATATGCAGTTAGTGAAGAAATGAACACTTGCTCTATCTATACAATGGTTTTACCTGACCACACTGGAACTACGATGGTGGATTGTTTTCTCCTAGCAAGATAAATGGGATGAGTCGCAGAATTATCATTTATGAATCCACACCTAAAAAGCTAAATCCTTCCCAAAACAGCACACATGCAGTCCAGTGCTCTTCAACTGCTCCTGCAGACTGGGAAGAAGTTTTATCATCCATAATGGGTTTTCACTCTTAAGTTACTCACACAAAGAATTGCACTTACACCACCTTTCTCTCCGGAACACGACAGTCAGCTAAAGATGGACTTCCAATGAGCCATTATTACTGTGAATAATTTAAAACAAAGGCACCACAGAGATGCCCCAGAGTTGCATATTTTACCATTTCATGGTTTCTCAAATTTCCTCGGTAAATCTGACTTGGAACATGAGCTGCAGCTGAAGAGAACATCGACAACAGCTAAGGCGGAATAAGATGACAGATAAGAGCCAATGATCCCGTAAGATTAAAACAAAGTCTGAAAAAGATCAAAGGAATCTGAAGCCACTCTCCAACTCCTGGTTGCTCACAAAGCCTTTTGCTGTTCATCAGATTGCTTTTAAAATAGTGCATCAAAGATAGAAGCAGCGGAAATTGGCAGAATTCAAGCCTTGCCATCTCGTCGTGTTGAATAATCTCCTGACTACTTAATATTAAAATACTTTGCAAATTCTAGCTAAACACTAATACTGCTATTGTTACTGCTAAAGTGATATGAATGGTACACTAAGTGCCTATGAAGACTGACTTTATTCATACTCCTCCAAATGTCTTACTGTAACAAGGGACAGTAACAGGATCTGGGCTTAGTGGAGCTGATGGGAATCGGCTGCTTATTTACGTCCCAATTAACGGCTCCCTGAGGGTGGAACGTCCCCTGGGGAGCGGGGAGGGGCTGGTGGCCCCTTGCCAAACCGGGGCAGCTGACATTCCTCACTGGCCACCCCTGGACCCAGGGGGACCCAGAGCAGTGAATTCCACCCAAGGACAGCCCCTGCTCATCCGCATCCTCGGCACTTCCACCCGCTCTGGATCGCTCCGGCAGCCCGGCATCCGTTCCTACACACCCTGACAACACCCCACGGCAGCCCTGGCGCTGAACCCCACCTTCCTTCGTGTTGACATTTGATATTAAAGGATGCCTCTGCCATCTAGAAATCATTAATGGAACCAAACAGCTCATCCAGTTGATCTCCGGTGCGACAGGCGGAGGGACAGGGGGTTGTCCTGAACTTCTCCACGGATTTGTTCTTTTAAGACCTGAGATGAAGTTAGGGTGGGAAGAGGTTGGCTCAAAGCATTAAGCACAATCATGTTCAACTGAGAACAGTTTCCTAAACTGAGAAACAAGAAAAATGCCACTAAAAGCACCAGAAAGATACGAAATTCCCTACACTGCACCTCCAGCCACAAGAAAACAGGATTTTTTTTAAACTACAAGAAAAGTTTTCTTCATATTCCGCATTTTATGTTACATGGAATAAAAAAAAAAAAGGTAAATTATGAGTCTGTACCTCGACAGGAGTCTGAGACCAGAGCAGCAGGAGCTTAGTGTGTCCATTCCTAAGGTACCTGGTAAACCCTGTATGGCTTTTAGTCATCTACCTGCAAAAGTGGATGTGATTCCTAATTCACCTTAACGCTCACCTGGAACAAACAGAAAGCAGAACACAAGAAACCCCCCCACACACCTCGACTCTACGGAAACTTCCCCCCGCTCTAGAAAAATTTGGCAGTTCTGAACCAGACCGTGCTGTAAGTATTGCTGCACAGACATTCCTCAGGCAGGTGCAGCCTTCTGCGTGTCTGAGGACTGTGCCCTGACGGAGTCTGTCCACGTGAAGCGGCTGTTTGGCTTTCCCTGGTGGATGTGGCTGGACACTTGTGTGTGCGGGTGGTCGGGCGGCTGCGGAATTGCTCAGGGTGGCACCACCAGCAAACTTTATTGAGATTTGAGACAACTACATTTGTTAATTCCTAGGTCTATTTACACAGGGTTTGGAGCTTTGCAGGGGACTGGAGTACAGTTCGGAAATGCCCACCTCTTTTCGCTCTCTGATGATGCCAGTTTTTATTTTGGGAATGTCTACTTTGGGAGTCTGACAGGGGGAACACGAGGGGGTGGTTACATTTTACAGCATTGATGGAGGGATGGGTCTGGTATACAATTACTTTGTCTTCGCATCAAAAACATGCTCTCGCTGTAAGTGTTACGACTGAGCAGCCTCTGCCAGGGGGAGGGTCGGGCTGACACCCTCCTGCTCCTGCGGCCCCGGACAGGGAAGGAGAGGGTGGATCCTTCTAGATGGGAAGGCTCGTGAGCCCAGAGCGGCGTGTGAAACTTTGGTGTGAGCCTGGCTGCTCGTCGCCTCTTCCCGCTGCAGAGCCGGATGTGGA